AAAAAAAAAAAAAAAAAAAAAAAAAAAAGTGATCTGGGCCTGCAAAGGGGTCATCGCTTTCCCTCTGCACCGATCACATGCGTACATTCTTTCGAAAATATGCGTGTGTAACATTTTCGATCCGTAACAGCTTACTCCTGACCATGGGCAAATATGGGCTAATCATTCGCTAATGTGCATTTCCACACTCTCAAAGATTTTTTGGTCTGTAAAAGCTTAGCTTAATTGCCGCTTTGGCAAGAATGGGCTACATACATGTCTACACTCTTAAACCACCAATACCTTTCCCATATATCGGCCGCGGGCAGCGTCGGAGGCCCGAAACGAAAAGCAGGCCGCCGATTCGATTCATCAACGGTGGCCCTCCCCTGCTTGGCTACCATGTTACCCGGCACGTCTTAGATTTCAAGCGGGGAAAGGTAAAGAAGAAAGTAGTTGGGGGATGCTCTTATCACCCCTGGTAGTTGACTCCTTAAAACACCAGTGCACACAAGCCTAAGTTGACCAAGCTACCTTCCAAGGCTAGCGAGCCTGCAGCTGCACCTTTTCCAAGTGGTCTGCCACTTTCTCCACCGGCCCAGGCCTGAATCGAAAAGCACTTACAGCATATACCGATATGAGCAGTACTCTTATTTGGGTGAGCTGGCGGTTTAAGAAGAAGAAGAAGAAGCGATGTAAACTCGACAGTCAAGGGACTGAGAGGAAGAGGATGCTCAAATCCCAAATGGACAAACTGCAAGATCAGTGATAGCAGAATGGACACATTACAATTTAAATACAAATGACAATTAGTACAGGCTAACTTAGGCAGGGGGGAGGGAGGGTACATCCTTCCTGCGGGAAGTAATCAATGCCATCCGTCAGGCCGTCCCACCATAAGGGGGAGGAGCGTGAGTGAGTGATCATTGTACTCCCTTCTGACTTGCTTGTGGAGTAATAACCGGACTGATGCTCCCCAGAATGGAAAAGGAGCCAGAACCGTAAGGTTCTGTTCATAAAGGAGAAGAAGAAGAAGAAGAAAAAGAAGAAGAAGAAGAAGAAGAAGAAGAGGAACAAGAAGAAGCTTGCTGTTCCTCATGATGCAGTTATGGGCAATGGCACCACGTACGTTTCTACACTCTCAAACAGAAAATTGCTGCTCATGATGCACATCAAGCTCCACTGCTGATTCAGTCAATTGGAAGCTTGTGGCAACACACACATCAAACGTACCGCCATGCCGATTTTCTCATCATGTATATGATGTCTTTTGTGGGCAGTTACTCCTTGCTTGATTGCCTTCCCTGTGTGTTAGTGGAAGATGGCCTTGACTGCATGAGCGACAGGCCTGTTTTTGTTCACAACTGTCTGCTATTGACAGCAAACACAACCCAAAGTTTTGCTGCTAGGCATGTGCCAGACAACGAGTCGCTGTGAAAGTGATTAATTTCAAAATTCAAACTGAAATTAAATGTACTAAGGACAGGAATGTTGAAATAGGTCATGACTGTGTATGTTGAAAAAGGTCATTATTTGGTCTGTTGAAACTTGAAACGGGGTCATTATTTTTTGGTTCTTTCAATTTTTGTTGCGTTAGCCTACACAAAGAAGAAGCTCTCTCTTTGTTTTTCTGGCTTCTTCCTTTTTCACTGTATTCTCTTGTTTTAGCCATCTGTATTTTCAGCTTTTGGGTGGATGGCTACCTTGCCGCCATTCATTGTGAACCCATGGCCCTCAGCTCATTCCGACCCGGGCAAATCTTCGAACTTTGCACCAGGTATTGAGAGCAAAAACTCTGGCCCACAGGCCAAGGCAATTGTTTGGACCCCAGGCTTGAAGTCTGCTATTGACAGCAATCAGAAGGCCACCGTTTTGCGGCTCAGCATGTGCCCAGAGGACCATTGATATACCTGGCCCTTGGGTCATTATGAGCCAGGCAAATCTTCGAACTTCACACCAGGTATTGATAGCAAGAACTCCGGCCCATAGGCTGAGGCAACTGTTTGGAACCGTGGCTTGAAGTTGCCATTGAGAATCTGTCTTGTCACCTCCACCGCCATTTTCGCGGTGAACGGGTAACCGGAACCAGATGTTGCAAATGTTCGAACGATTTTCCCTGATTTTTCATCCCTTGCTTCTCCTACAGCACCCGCTCGAATAGCTTCTGCATCGATTTCTGCAGGACCCCTTGGAAGGATTTTATCGATGGCGAATTGAGCCACAGACTGGAACGCCCTCGAGCTCAGCAGACCTGTAAATACTCGATTGGTGGGAAAGCTTAGGGCACTATATATGTAAGTGGTGATGTTCGGTATGCCTGTTGAGTGGTGTGCTGCAATCAGCTCGCTGCCGGCAAACGACACAAAGGGTGCATGACCACCCTCTCCCAGGTCGAAGGTGCGACACCTTGCACCTAAAGCTTCGTAAACCAATTTTCCGTCCCGCCTCACCACACCACCATTGGCAAGGATTCCCACAAGAAATGACTTCAAAGTTCCGCGAGAGAACATCAGACTGCGAGGTCTATATGATCCTGCGAACCTTGGGACAAAGAGTCCGAGGTCAAGATGGGTTGCTGTGGGCAAGCGCTTCTTCAGATGTGCAGCAAGGCAATCCCCTGCAGATGCATCGTACCCAATGGCAGGCATCAAAGTCACCCCACTGGCCTTTGCCTCCTCGTCATGCTGCTGAACAGCTTCCACAACCCGCAACTCTCCGGTGACATCTATGTAATGAGCTTTCTTGCGAAGGCATGCATCCACCATAGGACGAGCCGTGTAAGTGTATGGCCCAGCAATATGCAATACCACCGCATGCCGACCAACTGAGTTGTCAAGTTTCGCCGAATCGCTGAGGTCGAACACCTCATATGGGAGCTGAACCTCATTCGCAATCGCCTTCACTTTTTCTGCATTACGCCCTGCAAGAGTGGCCCTGAGTCCCACCTCCTTCACCTTCTTTGCCACAAGGTGACCAGTGTACCCAGTCGCCCCATACACCAAAACTCCAGACAGTAAATCAGGCGCCATCTGTTGGTTGGTCTCCAATGCGCTGCAAGCCAGTATAACGCGCCTGTTAGCATCCCTATTGTCTCACATTTCTCACCTTTTTTTCAGCCCACACCCCCTCCCCCTCTTCCCCCGATACAATGCCTGGTAACTCGTGGGAGACAGAGAGCACTTCCGAGCCTATCAAACAGTTTCAGATCATCAGGGAGACTTGTGAGCAATGAGCCAAGTGTTGGCCAGCGCACAGATACCCAAATGCACTGCATGCATCCTTCAAAAAGCCCTTTGAAATAACTAAAAGTCAGCTGCTTCAATGCTATCAAGAGTCTCAACTACGCACTACCCAGCAGCAAAACATCTGCATATCATTTCATATGTACATGAGAACACAGCACATACATCAGTGCGGTTGCCAACACATCAGGGCTCTTCTCGCCAGCTATGAGGCAACCAAGAGGAGACAAATTCAGACAATACACAACGTCCTTTGGGAAATCACAGCCATTAAAATTGGAATGATACAGAGAAGTTTAGCATGAACTGCGTTTTCCTTAAAATCGAGTTTTTTTCCGTTTCGCAATTCGTACTTGAGTGACCTGAAGAGGTCATCTAGCCTGTCCGACAAGGGCCCATTTTTGTGATGAGTGGAAGTCTCATGGATGATCACTCTTCCCAAAAATTGGCCCTCATCGGACAGGTCAAACGACCTCTTTTTTTTTTTTTTTTTTTTTTTTTTTTTTTTTTGACACAACAAAGCTCCATCTATTGGTGGGGAGCAAACGACCTCTTCAGGTCACTCAAATGGAAAAGCTCAATTTTAACGACAAAGCAGTTATGGGCCCTGCGCACGACAAATATAGATCGAGAAATGATTTAAACTTTCCAGAAGGGGAAAAAAGGGAGGATACATAATGAAAGCTTGGACCCAGCTGTTAAGATGCCTCTCAGGTGCCCATGACTTACGTACAGATGTACACATGCGCATACACTCAGAAACAGACAAAGCCACAGGCAAAAAGAAAAGCAATAGCTTGGCAGAAGTAGAAGCCTTATCTAAGATGGAATTGAGCATAGAGGGACGGAGTTTGATATTGGGTTATATATAACCTGTCACGTCTTACCGTTGGGGCACGGTTTAATCTTAATAGAAGAGAGTTAGCCTTCTTCAGTAGCTCAGCGGTAGAGCGGTCGGCTGTTAAACGATTGGTCGTAGGTTCAAACCCTACCTGGGTAGCTCGCTATTGATGATCCTGGTATTTGCATTGGTTAGTTTACTGTGCTCGTATCTCTACATGTTTGGCACAGTACAGCCCCTCTCCCAGACATGACTGGCATGCACAACAAACTCTGCACACTCCAATACGTGGCGCTCATGTCGGTTGCTCCTTGGTCTCTGCATTGCGGTACGGTGCTTGTAGCTCTACTTCCTTTGCAAAATACAAGCTCAAGAACAGGTATGCCCCTATGTCACTCACACTACCCTACAC